AAACGATCAACGAACCAATGGTTAATCGTTGGTGGTTTCACAAGTAAGTAACTTCGGTTTATTAATGCATGGTCGTGGTTAATAAACTTAAGAGGGATCAATTTTGTTGGTTAAACCGAGACCGTTGTGTTAAGGTTATCAATCTCAATTGATTTCATCAAGGAGTTAAAAGATTGAATGCTACTATTATATCGGTATACGACGTTGTTCTATATTTGATTAATAGTAAGGGTTGTTAATGAACGGTCGTTGTTAATAACTACCCTCGATGAATTGGAGATACTCCTCGATTGAGTATTCGAGAGGGGATAAGTTATAGATATGACAAGGATCGACTAAAATATATCAACAAGTGGAAAGTAGCAAAGCCAAGTCCCTTTTATTCTTGAATTAAACACATATAGGTTGTTCATCTTAGTTTCTTAATTAAATTAAATCATTCAAAACCAAAACCCCCCTTTTTAATTACTAGTTTCATAAAAAGAGAATCATTCCTTTCCCTGTGGATACGAACTCTACTACGCTATAATACGTATAAGTGTTTAGTATTGAATTTATTTTGACGCACCGTGACAAAGTGCTCGTCAGTAATTAATTAAGGCCATTTAATTAAAGATCATTCGGCCCATCCTAATGTAACAAGGATGTTCGGCCATCCTTCTATAAATAGAATGGGAATGGACTGAACATACTTGAGGGTTTCACAATTAGAATAGCCATATCATTCTCGAAGCTCTCTCTCTCTCTAGAATCTAAGTCTCTAAACATTATGTTTCTGCATATTATTCTCAGTAGAACTAGTAGAATAGAAATTCTCTCTCTAGCTTATTCGTTCAAGTACTGTGTAATTGTTCCTCATTGATTCATCATTCTTAATACACGGTATAAGTTGATGTTGAATTTCTCTTCTACTGTTTAAATTCTTTCTATTATTATTAGTGATAGATTATATATCTAGAGAGAAGGGAGAGCTAGAGAGAGAAGTGCAATAATTCCTTGCAATAAATGATTTGTCAACCCCTACAACTACTCCTAGAGGAAGTATTTATAGGGAAAATATGGGCTGGGCTTCTAATGGGCCGAATACAAAGTGTACATAAATGACTAAGTATAAAATCTTGTTCTAGAGGCTATCTATGGCCGACGAGGGCATGGCCGACGAGGGCAGGCCGATGAGGGCCCGACCGACGAGGTCACCCGGTTCTCAAGGCTTCTGGATCATATTCTGAGTAGAGTTCTTTCTGGCCGATGGAGGTCATCTGGCCGACGAGGTTCCCACCAGGTGATCGTGGTACCTTCTGTTCTTCTGAGTATGTGGGTCCTGGGGCCTAGACCCATATACTCCATCAGGAGTCCCCCACTCTCTAAGCTGAGACGTTGATGAAGTGAAGGAGAGTAGATTTCTGTCCTTTTTTGTTTGGCCGTTGTGTGCTCCTCGATGTGAGCGAAAAGGGCCCTAGTCATGCAGATGATGCGTGTTTTCTGTTTAAGGACTACAAGTGCCTTTGCTTGGTGGAGACGATGAGCGTCCTCTATGATGAGTGGCCGATGAAGATGGTGCTTCCTTATTCCTGACCGTTGATGGTTGAATTTCGTACTTTGGGCCGAGGAGGCCATTGTGGTTATCTCTTGTTTGAAGACGATGGATGTGCTTTTGTTTCCGGGTGGTCGGTGAGGGTGCTGTTTGCTTTCTTTGGCCGTCGTTGGTTGCATTCTGTGCTTTTGGCCGAGGAGGTCCATCTTTTTATTTTTAGGTCTTTGAGCCGGAGCGGTGTGGTGGTAATTTGGTGTCCAAGGAATGTTGGACGATAGTGATCATGGACGATAGTGGTGCATAGATGATGTGGCCTCGTGTACTTGTGCATCTTTTGATTTTCTCATTCCATCTTTGCTTCTTGAGGCCGGGGAAGTCCCCCAGTCCCCCACTGCTTCAGGCCGAAGGGAGAGTGAGGGGTGAAGGAGTGGTTTGAGACCCAGGCCGAAGCGGGATCCTCATGCTGCCCTTGAATCCAATCCTCTGGCGATTTCCTAACCAAGGTAACCCCGTGGGAGAACCCTTGGACGCAGGTCGCTTTCAAAGAGTTATCATCAAGGGTTTTCACGAGGGCCGACGGCTGTTGGGTTATTTTTGCTTGGATTTTGTTGCCGATGTGGGGGCCATTTGTTGGTAATAAGTGTGGCTGACATGGGCGCACCTTGGGGCTTCGTATGCCGTGGTGGTGCTCTAATGTTAGAGTGGTTGGAGTGGTATTGGATCCTTGGGTGCGGCCGTTGAATCCCTTGGCCGTTGTAGGTGCGAGTCTTGGTGCGTGGCACCGCTGGGCTGATTGTACCCGAAGTGGGCTCGGCCCATCTTTGGAACGGTTGCATCCCATTGGTGACCGTTGGTGTGGCCACTGGGGTTGTGCCACGTGTAGTGACCATTGGGGGGGAGGAGTCTATAAATACCCCCCTTTTTCGAAGGAGTTTCCCCATTTGCATTCCGAGCTAATGAAGTGATGCTCAAATTTCTAGAGAGAGAGAGACTTATTCGTGTGTTCTTTCGTTCTTCAAAACTTCAAAGGTGAGTTCATCGAACTTTTCTCCACTTCCTTGCATATTTTGCTTCTTTTAGACCTTGATCCAGTGTTAGTCACGACAACACCTCAGATCTGAAGTAGTCCCCCTTAGAACTGTGATAGCTGTTATAATGAAGACCTTAGACGAAGAGTACTACCCTTACGACGATGAGGCCTCTATTAAGTCCCTTGACTACCGGGTGGTGGAAGAGTGTTGTGAGGAGATTGAGGACTTGAGTCCCTTGAAGACGGGGGGAACAAGAGGACGATGAAGGTGTGGGCGAGGAGGCCGCCTCGTCATCTGAGGGGGAAGACGTAGGGGTCTCCCGCGCCATGGACGGTGCGTCTACTTCAACCGCCATTCCATGCCCGAAACCGGTTTCTGCCGTCAAGGGAACCACCCCGAAGAGGAGGCGCCGGCCGAAGAAAGGCCCAGGTTTCTCCTGTTTGGACCTTAGCAACATCTACCTTATCAAACCGCAGAGTGGTGCGGCTGACTACTTAGTCGCCCAGATGTATGTAGGGCGTTTTGGTAAGGTTAGGGCTCCTAGGCCGACGGACCACGTTCTTAATCCTCCCCCGAGGTATTTTGGGGTGTACCGAATGAGTTTTGCGAAAGGACTTCGATTCCCGCTTCATCCTTTCATCACGGAGTACTTGGATATGGTGGGGCTTCCCCCGACCTTGTTGTCCCCGAATAGTTATTCCTTGATCGTCGGGTTTCTACGGCCGATGGGGGTCCCACCAGGTTATCGTGATACCTTCTGTTCTTCTGAGTATGTGGGTCCTGGGTCCTGGGGCAGTATGGGGGTCCCCTAATATACTCCATTAATTAGTATATTCTACTATTGAAATCTGATCGTACACACGATTTTGATAGGAAATAGGAATGTAGGATCCTAACATTTCACTTCATACATGGAGTTATGGGTCATTCAAATTTGTTTTGTCTATAGGGCTGGTCGCAATATATGGAGGAGCGAAAAAGTCAATTTTTAGCTTTTCAAACTAAAATTCGTACAATCTATCCAAAAAATTGTAAAAAGTCAATTTTGAGCTTTTCAAACAAAAATTTGTACCATCTATCCAAAAATATATACTTCAATCCGTTCTTTTTTAATTGCAAAAATCTATTTTTCACGTTTGCCAACATACATATTTGACGATTAATGTCTTTCATTTCTTATTAGTAAAAAAATTAGATTTTGAAAATTTCAAATGAGAGGAATTTAATAATTTTTTAAAAATGTAATTTACAATGCATTCATAACTAAAATACAGTCAAAGTAGAACATATGAATAATGCATGATAGATAATCGATAATCATATTGTATAAATTAGGAGAGATGAACAAAGAATTGAGAAGGAGATAATGTATAGAATGGATGAAAATTTTGTCTATGACTTCTGGTTTACAAGCCTCCTATAAGAAGTATATATAAGGAAATCCGAGTCTGGGTTTCCAATATGGGCCCAACAGACCCGGTTAGATAAATGGACTAATAGTATAAAAAGCTAATCTAGTACATATAATGAATATGTAAAGTATATAGTACTCCCTCCGTCCCTTAAAACTTTGTCATCTTTCCTTTTTGGGACGTCCCAAAAAACTTTGTCACTTTCCCTTTTAATCAATTATTTTGTGGTTTCTGTTATTTCTCTCTCCTCTGCACAAACTTTAACCACGCAGTTTTTACTTTTTTATTCTCCGTGTCGGTCAACTTTGGCAAAGTTTTAAGAGACGGAGGTAGTAATATAAATGTTGCCTGCTGGTGTACGTGAATCCATGTCCAGACCCAATAGTCGGCATGCCGGGGGTCGAGGTCCATATACTCCATCAATGCAAAAAGTTCAATTTTGTATTTAAAAGAGAACGGAGATAGTATATCTATAAAAGAGCTAAAATGGATGTGCGACACCTTGGATGTCTTGGATGGGGGATTTGTCATATTAACCCATCTCCTAAAAAATGGTATAGAAATGAAATGCTACTCACGGAGGATGACTGATGAGGGGCCTAAGAAATAAAATGAGTATTCCCAATATTAGTATGTATAACTTTTTTTTATTTGCCCTCCAATATTTATAAAAACTATTTCAAGATTAATAACTTTTTATAATCTTCCATATATGTATAAAATTTGAAAATTTTTAAGCCCCAATAACGATGATGACATAAATTATGTCTTGATAGACACATAGCTGCTTTTGAATATATAACTTCATAAGTTTATTTAGTTTTAAATTATATTCTCTAACTAATAAATTTATTCACATTAACGTTTTTTTAGTTCTAGTCAAAATGCACTTGAAAGATCGCGTTGATATGTAATTCACTAATTTGCCATTGCAAATAGTACATAACTCATTAATGGACAAAGATTTTAGTAAATGCACACTTTTTATTAGTTAATCACAACTTAATTTCAACTACATTTTTATATATACATCCAATTCCAAATGGAAATTTATTTATTTTCAATATGTCCATGCAATACTAACTTAATTATTTCCAAATGATCGACTCCTTGCATCTGAATTCTCGACTCCGACGAATTCAATTCCAACCTTCGCTCATCCATCGCGTAGAATTCAAGCTTTCCAGAACTCAATATCGTATGTCCCTTCAAAAAAAAAATTGTTACACATTCACATAATTAGTTAAAGGCTTATTCATGGCCGGTCCTGTCTATTTTTGGGCTTATGGACGAGATAATATCTTGGGCTTATATTCAAGATAAATAATAAATTATACTCCTTACGTCCCTTAAAACTTTACCAAATTGACCGGTACGAGGATTAATAAAGTAAAAGCTGTGTGTTGAGGTTTGTGAAGAGGAGAGAGAATAAACTAGAACCACAAATTCTTTACTTAAAAGGAAAAATGACAAAGTTAGTGGAACATACAAAAAAGAAAGTTGACAAAGTTTTAAGGGACGGAGGGAGTATTTATTAAAAATAATAATTATAATGAACTTATCTAATAAAGGTCATTAAATAAAAACGAAACGCATATTATTATTATTATTAGAATTACTTAAATTACATATTTGGTGAAAAGTAACAACATAAGTATCACATAAAAAGAAAAACATTACTTAAAAATCATTCCCGCAGAACATTGTGAAGCAAAATCATCAATAATTGCTTCATGTAATAAACTTTGTCAAGTATCTCATGCTCAAAGCTTAAAATTACTAACTCATTAAGCCTTTATTGAGACATAGTCGATCGCAGATAATTCATCAAAATCTTCAACTTTGAAAAACATTACTTAAAACGTTTCTCACGGAATTTTCAAGATTCAATTTCTTAACAAAAACAAAATTTTCCATTGATCCCTTCTAACTTAATCTTGTCTTTTCTAATCTTCTTCTCTTTATCCCAACTCGATTGAACAATTTTATCAAGAATAATTTATTGATCGCAGATGGATTGTTTGAAGTCTTAAAAGAAGAAGTTTTTTTGGTCACTGACCGCCGTTTGGGCACCTCGAATGATTGGCTGCAATTCTTGACAAACCGCTGAGGCACTCACTGCTTTGCAATGTTCTTTACTCTTGTTGGTATTGGAATTTGGAAACAACAAATCAATGTGGATGGGCTTTGCGAATTGGGAGTTTTGGACTTGGGAGGTCAAACATAACTTGGTAATTTTGTAATTAAAATGATTATAAAACCTAGAGATCCGAAGAGAATTAAGAGAGGTGTGCCACCTTACATTTATTTTAAAATTTAAACCTTGAGCCAACTAAGTGAGCTTAGAAATTTAAAAAAGAAGCATTCTCACACTACATACAAAGAAATATTTTTGAGACTATTTATTTACCCTATTTTCTTGGGCCTAGGGCGGTCGCCTCTGTTGCACCCCTAGGGCCGCCCCTGGGCTTATTATAAACAGAGACATAAAACTATGTCGCACAATAAAATTTGTCGTTTTAAGCTCCAACACCAGTTTAATCTGGATATAATTATAACTGCATCTATAAATTGTTTATTGAATTCTTTACTGATGTGTTGCACGTACGTGGATGCATATGTTATATGTTTAACTATGTCATTTGATGACAGTGACAATCTAATGAGTTGTTTGACCAACTCGGATTCACATCGGTTAAAAATATGGCTTTTTAGAGCACAAAGTTCGACAAAGTTGGGATCATTTCGTACTAACAAAAACACTAATCATTAGATATATAAATATTGTGTTACGTATTTGTGTTTATATAACATAATTAGAAAGGATCCAAGCAATTGAGGAACGCTAAAAATATTACTGATCAAACTTTTGTAAATATCCAATAAGCAAAAACATTAATTGATAGTTTAGCTGTAAAAATCAAAATTTTCACATTATCAAACACCCAATATTAGTATGTAAGGAGTATTACATTTCATAATATTTGAAGAAAAAGTGAACCATTTTTTAAAAATGATCACAAACTCTTAACCAATAAAGCACGAGCTAAAGGGTCAAATAAACCCTCGAACTAACTTAAAACGTGCAAATCACTTCTTATATAGGAGGCTCTATCCGACCATCGTCATTTGGGGCTGTTCCCGGTGAAATTTTTTGATGAAATTTTTTGAGAATCTTATTCATCAAATCTAGTTTGCTCATACCAAATTTCAGATAAAAATTCATCTGGGAAGACATTCAAATGATTTTCTGCGCAGTTATATAATTAACCATGTACATAGATAGCTAAAAAAATGTCATCAAAAAATTCTTTCCTGGAACCTCCCCAAATGGCGATGAACGGACATAACCTTCTATATAACGGGTGATTTGCCCTTTTTAAGTTAGTTCGAGGGCCTATTTGACCTTTTAGCCTAAATCATAACCATACCTTACTATCTATGTACAAGGTTAATTATATAATAAACATATTAATTTATTTTCATTTTATGAAATCAATTCGGTCGCTTTCCTTCTAGCCAAAGCCTTGAATCTTTTACTCTGATTTCTTACGATTAAAAATAAACAATTAAAATGGGGGTTGGGACGTTATTCACCCAGAAAACAGGAAAATGCATCACTTTAAAATTTCTAATTATATATCGTCGGGGACGCCCCTTTCAGATTTCAAAGCATTGCCTTTTTGACATGGGGTATAGTACGTAGTTCAATCCTACAATCCTAGTTAGTTGTTTCATATTGTAAATTCGAAAATGAAAATGATCTGAATTTTTGGGCATGAAATGAAAATGATCTGAATTTTGCTTCTTTAAACTTGCAGCTGATTTGATTTCGACCTTCAAATCTTCCACTATATATAAAATACATACTATGTATAAATTACTAGATTTTGTACCCCTATATAATATGTTTGCGATAGTTGTTGGCTTGTCAAAAATATTGATCAAAAAGTGGAATCTCCCACCCTAGGAACCCCCACCCTGACCCGACAGGATGGTGGGAAGGTTAGTGGTGACTCAATTAGGAGAGTGACAGATGGTCCATACATCCGTGCACACCAGAGGCCCAGCCTTATTTCAGGTTGTGTGACCTCTACTACCCGGTCATTGTGGGGATTCGAACCTTAATCCATTGATCCAAATCTTCCACCACTCGACCAACTGAACTTCCCGTGCGGGTATGGATGTCAAAAATATAAATGCACACATTGAAAGTATATACTCCCTCCGTCCCGAATTGAATTGCAAACTTTAACCGACACGAGAATTAAGAAATGACAATAAATGATGCTTGTTTTTTACACTTTTGTCCATCTTTCTAAAAGTAGATGCCTTTAAGTTAATGGGGAAAAAGTAAAAGTAAGAGTAAATTTTTCACTTTATTCTTATTTACATACCTAAAATAGAAAGTGGAGAACCATTTTAGGACAACCAAAAAAGGAAATTTTGCAAATCAAATTAGGACGGACGAAGTAAAAGTATAAGAAATGTACTTGTGATGACTGGGATTAGGTCCATCGGGTACTTCTCTTTTCATCACGTTGTTGATAGAGTTGTAAGTGTGATGGTGAAGGTGAAAAGAATAATAACTTCTCATCATCTTCCGAATCATTACAACATCTGGAGGGGGGAGAGGCCCAATAATCATCATGATCATCCTGATTATCTCAATGTCATCTTTGGCTAATTTGTGGTGGTAGTGGTAATTAACCTCAATTCTTACAGATAAAAACAAGAGGAGACCAACAGCCACTAGTAATAAAACCTTATTACTCCAAACGCTTGGCTTGTTGTCCATCTCAGTATCTCCTTTCCTGTGAGAACACACTTTGAATTTTGTGGTTGGAAGAGATTGTGAGAAGAGAGAAATGAGAGAGAAAAGATCATGGGAGAGATAAAATGGTGTGAAATGAAGTGGATTATGAAAGGGTTTTGTAAGAGAGAAGTATTAAAGAAAGAAAAACTCTAGAAATAAGTTTGTAATTGTAAATCGTTTTAAAATTATCTTTACTTGTCATTTAACCGTACATTGTTCACATTCTTACCAATTATGTCAAATCAAAAGAAAAGATAAACAAGAATGGAGTAATATGACATAAAAAATGATTGAATTTGAGAAAATGAAGAAAAAGTCAAGTTATAGCTTCCTTTTTAGCATTAAAGGAGAGGCTGCTTAGCAGACTCCGTGTGTTTATTCTTTCAATTTCTTTTCATTTTTTCTCTTGCCCAACAAGTGAAAGTTTCATTTTTTGAGCTGTTCGCCTCACTAATTAGGATGAATGAATTAGTATCGAGGTAAATCGATACTCTACTTTTATACTATCGTATTAACTAGACAAATGACCTCATGTGAATGATGTGATGCACAATATATATTGATGGAGTTTAATTCAACTACGAGAGCTATATCTAAGAGAGCAGATGAAATTTAGACAGCGTAAGGTGATATTATTATTCCGGAATCCAGTCCTTTGATAGGACGTACATAAGAAGTATTTATAGACCCTAGGTACTTTTTCCGTCCTATAGTGCTACATATTTTTAGTGTGAGAAAACTCACATCATCACGATGGGCCATGCTACACCGATCAAGCTCATCTCCCAGGTCAAGCCAGGAAGACTACCTGGACCGTGGAGGACTCTGATGGCAACTTTGAAAAAATGCTTCACGGCCAAGCACTGTTGAGAAATTCAGTCCCAAACAGGATCTAATCTCACTAAAAATGATAAAATTCATAGAATCAAACAGTAACAACACTAACTGGTTGAGGAGAAACCGAACGTTGATGGTGCCGTAGAAGATGATGAAACCATGACGTTTAGATTCTCTAAGGATACAAACCCCTATTGTGATGAATTAATCAGACTCCTCCTTGGGTCTCTTAATTAATATGGTGTTCTTGAGACCCCTTAGAAGAAGTGGGTCTCTTAATATGGTGTTCTTGAGACCCCTTAGAAGAAACGATGCGTCCATTCTTTCTAATCGTAAGTGTTGGAAAGAAGGATATATTAGTTTGTATAAAAGAGAAACCTATTTGGCCCCTTATGTATTATTTAACGTTAAAACATACTCATCATATGTTAACTATACATAAATACAAGGACCAAATCTGTCATATGACAAACTTAATGGTGAGACATAAATGTCTCCAAAAATATATTAAATTATATAACTGGTCCAAGGGCACTTAAATGGAATATTTTTCAACATTCTCCCACTTGACCTTGAGATCATTTATACAGAAGTAAGTGTTGACCAAGAAAAAATCATCTTACCCTATAATAATCTCAAAGCAAATAAATACAGTCTAACGAGTCAATATAACCCGGGACCACATTAATCATACTTTGACACTACTTCTCACAGAGTATAAGGATTATTATAAGCCAAAATGACATTAAGCTTAGGGTATTATGTTTGTCTATTAAATAACTTTGTGTGCACAATGAAGAATAAACAAAACATAGTTAAGGAGGATTTCTAAATCAAGTACTTGAAATTAATACATAAGATAGCTAATCAGACACTGCACTACAATTTCCTAAACAGGATCTTTGATCAAGCCCATATTAGTGACATGTCTTTGAAAAATACTGGGCGGAAGTCCTTTGGTGAGAGTATCTGCTAGCATATCATTTGTGCTGATGTGTACGATACAAATTTCGTTTTCCTCCACTCTTTCTCGAACGAACAAATATTTTGTATCGAGGAACAATCCTGCTCCACTCGATCTGTTATTGTTTGAGAAGCTCACGGCTGCGTAATTGTCACAATAAATCCTTAGTGGTCTTGAGACGTAATTCACTACTTTGAATCCTTTGATAAGATTCTTTAACAACATTCCATGACATGTTGCGTTGTACACCGCAACATATTCGGCCATCATTGTTGAAGTAGTCGTAAGTCTTTGCTTGTGGCTTTTCCAAGATATTGGCCCACTTTATAGCAAGAAAATGTATCCCGAAGTGGACGTCCTATCATCTTTGCACATAGCAAAATCAGAATCGGAATATCCCACCACTTCTAAATTATTAGACCTTTGATATGTAAGTTTGTACTCCTTAGTTCCTTGAAGATACCGCAAAATTTTCTTAGCGACTTTCCAATCATCTAATACTGGGTTAGATTGATATCTTCCCAACATACCGGATACATATGCAATATCTGGACGGGTACAAACTTGAGCAAACATCAGGCTATTAACTACGGAAGCATAAGAAATGAATTTCATTTGCTCTTTCTCAACCTCAGTTTTTGGCCATTGGAATGACCCAAAAACGTCTCCCTTAACTACTAGAGCAACTGATGGAGAGCATTGTTGCATGTTGAAACGTTCTAAAATGCACTCAATGTATGCCTTTTGGGACAAGCCTAACGTCCTTTGACAAGCACTTTGTCGTAGTGCGTGAAAATAAATTCAATACTAACACTTATACGTAGTATAGTGAAGTAGAGTTCGTATCCACAGGGAAAGGAATAAATCTCTTTTTAAATGAAACTAGTAATTAAAGGGGGGTTTTGGTGTTGAATGATTTAATTTAATTAAAAACTAAGATGAACAACTTATATGTGATTTAATTCAAAGATAAAAAGAACTTGACTTTGCTACTTTCCACTTGTTGATATATTTAGTCGATCCTTGTTTTATCTATAACTTATCCCCTCTCGAATAGTCAATCTAGGAGTATATCCAATTCATCGAGGGTAGTTATTAACAATGACCGTTTATTAACAACCCTTACTATTGATCAAATATAGAACAACATCGTATACCGATTTAATAGTAGCATTTAATCTTTTTAACTCCTTGTTGAAATCAATTGAGATTAATAACCTTAACAAAATGGTTTCGGTTTAACCAACAAAATTAATCCCTCTTAAGTCTATTAACCACGACCGTGCATTAATAAACCGAAGTTACTTACTTGTGAAACCATCAACGATTAACCATCGGTTCATTGATCGTTTCTAGTAATAATTAATGTCAAAGTGTTAACTAATCGTCACTTAGCAACACCCCAACATCAATATAGAAAGAGATTTAGGGAAGAACTAATATTCAAGAAGAGAAGTTAAGAAAATAACTCACAACTTTAATAATCAACAAGCTTCAAGAGCAAAACCAAGAAATGGAAGTTTAGCTCCTCATTTGAAGACTAAACATAGCTAGAAAAATATAAAGAAATGCTATTCTAAACTGAGCTTAAGAGTATGGAAGAAGGGATGATGAAAAGTGAAGAAAAATGCGGTTATTTATAGGTGTTTTCAACACCTATGGCCGGATACCTGGCCGGGTATTTGACATACCCGGCCGAGTATTTGTCAAATCAAACATTTTTCCCATATTTTCGTGTTCTTCTGCACGTCTTTCTGTCTGAAATCACTTCATACCGGACCGGGTATATGGAATTCCTGATCGGGTATTTGATATAATTTCCCAGAAGCTTCCTCTTTCACTTCATACCCGGCCAGGTAAAGGCCATACCCGACCGGATTGTGCACAAAACTCAGGTTTCTTCATCCTTTTTGCTTCCAAATCTATGCTAAACATATAGCCCAACTAGCTACAACTTACAACAAACAATAAAATGCTAGAAATACGATTACAATCAAATGAAAACTAACGACTACAAACTTGCACAAAACTAGTAAATAAACATTACAATCAAGAATAAAAATGTATACTTAGGCACTAAGAACTAGTGCCTATCAAACACCCCCGCACTTGAACTTTTGATCGTCTCGAGTAAAACAAAATCACTCTTCTTTTTGCTTTTATTTTGTTTAAGTTGCCCTTTTGGGGTTTCAAGCTAACAAGCTTTAATTATTTTTAAAAGGGATAAAGAGTGTGAAATGTGAGCATACCAGAATGGTCGTCCCCGGCTAGTCCATGGCACTGTCCCTAGTGCCCGCCTGCATCTCCTCCATCAAAGAATCCACCATGGTCATAGTAGCTGTCATAAAAACCGCCTGTATATCGGTACTCATCCTCGTTAATGTCTGAGCTGCCGCCATAGCCGCCATCTCCACCTCTGAAATCCCTGCCAGCGCCATCACTGCCATCCTGTTCACCTCCTCTGGAACAAGATTCTCCAAAATTACCCCAATGTGAGGGGTCATACCATGTAGGATGTTGGACTGGAGTGGTTATGTGGGAGAAATACACTTGGTGGTCAAAATATGCTAACATAGGGACAAATGCCCGTTTTTTATCTTCCTCCACCCTTTGGTACGCACTATAGAGATCGTCGATGCATGTGTTCATAGCTGCTTGGTTAAGACTGAGTTGTTGTATACCGGCAAACATTTGTTGCTCAAAGGGGGTGTATTGAGGAGGTTGGGGATCGGGTTGTGGTTGTTCTTGTGGTTGTTCGAGACTGGGTGGAGGCTCAAGTTGAGGGATTGCATAAAGATAGTGGTCAGGAGTAGTTCCGGGTAAGCAAAGGTGTCTCCTATCCCCGATTTGATGGTTAAAAATGTTGGGGAGTTCGTCGGAGGGGATTGTAAAATCTTGTGTGGGTGGGGGATTTATGGTCCAATGGTAAAATGTCGTGGTCCCAATAGTGTGGGAGTGACTCAAATCATGTGCAGTGAGTAGAAATTTGAGATTAAAGCAATGCCACTCTTCTACTTCTCTGTTTGCATCATATAACACAAGTATGATGAATTTGCTCCCACTCATTTTGAGGTAAGTGCATTGATCTACTTTGTTTTTAATGAAGCCATTTGATTTCATGACCATCAAACTTGAGCTACCATTGTCGAGATGCTTGCTTGAGCCCATAAATAGACTTCTTGGGTTTACACACTAGATGTTCTTGACCCTTAGAAACATAACCTTCTGGTTGTATCATATAAACATCTTCATGTAAATCTCCATTTAAGAAGGCTGTTTTGACGTCCATTTGATGTAGCTCAAG